AATGATTGAGCAGCGTTTTTAAGCCCGAAGGGCATTACCGTCCAGGCAAACTGTCCGCGATGGCACACAAACGCTGTCAGCAGGCGCGAAGAAGACTCGAGTGGTACCTGCCAATAACCTCTTCGCAGGTCGAGCAGCGTTATGTACTTCGCTTTTTCTACGCTTATTATGAGTTCTTGCTGAAGGGCCATTGGGTATGCGTCCGTCACCGTCCCCGCGTTTAATGCCCGAAAATCGACCCAGAGTCGAATGCTGCCGTCTTTCTTCGGAACGAATACCAGCAGATGGGCATACGGGCTCTCGCACGGAAAGATCAACCCCAATTCGAGCAGCTCGTCTACCCCACCTCGGCCTGTAAGCTTTTAGGTACCCTGTACGGATGCGGGCTTCTGCGGACAAACCCGTCTTGCAACCTTATCTCGTGTGGCCTTACTGCCGCTACCGTCGGCCCCCCGCCAAACTGCTCCACATGCCTCTTGAACACTTCGCAGATCACCCCGCATTCCCGTTCTACTAAATGGGCTACCATATCGCGCGACGGAAAAACTTCTTCACTACGCATTGCCCCAGGCTGTGGGGCGCACTCTGCTTCACCGAAATCACCGTCGTCCTCGAACATTACTCCTACCGACATAACCCTGGACTGATATGGCCGCAGCTTATTCGCATGCACCAGTTTCCGGTTACCTGCTGGCATCTGCACGAAGTATGAATGCTCGCGGTATCTCTCTGTGACACTGCCTGGCCCTTCCCATTTCGGAAATATTTTCCCTGGTCGTTGATCATCAAACTCGAGTACCAAATCACCGACGTTAAACTTTCTTGCCTTCGCAATTTCGTTGAATTGCGCAGCGTAGGTGTTTTGTGATTTCGAGCTGACCATTTCCGCAACCTGCACCGCAGGCCTGGGCCGCCCTCGTAATTCTTCCATGTACGCCGCTGGCGACGCTCCCAACTCTCCCGGCAATGCAGTTTCCCCCGTCCAAGTCCTCTTAAGTATACTTAACGGACCCGTTGGTTGCCTCCAATACAGCATCTCAAAAGGCGCTACTCCGGTCGTGTCGTGTGGGATTTCCCTGTACCCCCACAGCAAGAAAGGCACAAATTGATCCCAATTCCTGCCCTCCTTCTCCATTATGTGGTATAGCATGTTCATAAAGGTCCTATTCCATCGCTCGACCGCCCCATTGCTCTCAGGGTGCCCCGGCGTTGAAAATCGAGGGGAGCAATTAGGTTTTGACAAAAACTCTCTGGTCAGTGCCGCTGGAAAGTTAGTGCCGCAGTCGGACGCTATAACCTCGGGTATGCCTGTTCTGCTAAATACTGCCAGTAGTGCATCGCAGGTTGCCATAGCGCTTAATAAACGCAAACACACCACCTCGGGCCAGTGCGTGCATAAGTCAATGACGCATAAACAGTACTTATGGCCCCGGCCTGACACTGGCTCTAGCGGCCCAATAACGTCCACGTTAACCTGCTGAAACGGATATCTTGATCTCGTAAGGGGTTCGATGGGGACGCTGTCCCTGCGACGCCAGTCTGCCCTCGCCTGGCAACCATGACAACTGTTGCAGTGCCGTCGTACTTCGTCTCCTACGCCTGGCCAATAAAAACTGTACTTGATCCTAGAGCACGTTTTACGGCAACCAAAATGCCCGGCCCAGCTTGACTCGTGCGCCAGTTGCAAAACTTCCCCTCTGCGGCATTCCGACAGTACCAGCTGCGTTACCGATTGCCCAAACACCTTATCCATATGATAAAGTAAACCGTCTATTACTAGCATACTGCCTTTTCCTGTCACCACTCCTCCCCACGCTTCCCGTAAAGTCGGGTATCCCCGTTGTTTCTCGCGAAATTCGTCTGACGCGGACCCCTTCTTCATGCCGACACTAGGGGCTTTGTTAGGCAACACGCTGTCATCCCGCTGATCCCCTTGATCGCGGCTTGCTACAGCTACTTCGCTGATCAACACCTCCTCGGTCGCGTGTCGCTCTACCAATTTTACACGAGTCTTCACCTCGTTCTGATGCCATACGGCCTCGGCTTGCTGAGGCTCGCTTTCGAACTCTGGCCGAGTGCCGCCCACTTCTGAGGTACTCTCCACTACCCCTTCGAGGGTGCTCTCCTCGTGTAGTAGTTTCCGTAGTTCCCATGCTTCTTCAGAAAGTAGGCAATCTGTTCGTGCCGTTAGACGGTACATTAACGCGCACAACACTAGGACTGGTTCCCTAACGTCAGAAAAAACTCCACGCTCACGCGACATAGTCAGTGGAATAACTGCGAGCTTGGCCTGTACTTTCTCCCCGAACGCCGAAGTCAGGTTGACCATCCCATGCGGTTGCACCAACTCTGGCGGAACCACGCTCTCACGGACTACTGTAATTTTCGCACCTGTGTCCAACACTGCTCCTATATGTTTGTATTTGCAGTCGAGTGATATTGAGATTAAATCGCTGTGTGTGGCTGGGGGAGCTTCAATCGAAACACGCGCCGCTAAGCTGTCTTCTTTACTGTTCGGAAGCACTTCCGTCGGCTGTTTCTGACGCTGCGGGCAATTTCATTTCTGGTGCTCTGTACTGCCGCAACTGTAGCAGGCCCTGGGCTTTGGTTTCCCCTCCACGATACGGTTTTTCCCAGCCCCGTGGCCCTTCATTGTCTCTTCGTTGGATCTAGCCGTGCTCGCGCTTTTCGACTCCGCCACGCTTTGCTTCGCCTGCCTCGCAGCGCTGTTCGTCCCTGTGCTTCTTCAAACGTTCGCAGAAACGCGGATATCTCTGGGGCGCTTATCCACGTTCTACCTTACTGGAGTGTCACATATCGCAAGGCCTCCTCCGACAAATTTTTCTTTAATTGGTCGGCCACCAAAAGCTTGACCAGGCCCTCGAATGTCGGCACCCCTCTTACCTCAAGGTAAAAGTGGAGCTAGCTCTCTAAACGTGTCGAAAAAGGTATCCACCCCTCGTTCACACGCTTGCCTAACCCCAAAAATCTTTTTAGATATTCCCCGGCTGAAAGTTTGAGCTCGTCCAGCACCGTTTGCTTGATTACCTGGTAATATTTGTGCTCTGTTGGGCTTAGCCGCGTGGACGAAAACGGGACTCTCTCCGCTACCAACGGGAAAACTAAACGTCCCCGAAACTCCCCCAATACCTTGTACGCTTCTAGGGCACTCTCCACGGACTCAAACCACACTGGTGCTTCAGCCTTGGCTGGAAATTTGGGTAACACTTCTGTGAGGACTTTTGAGTAGCAAATCAGTTCGCTACACGGATCCCACCTGCCGAACTCGGGTCCACTCCTCCGAGAGCTTCCGCCCATCATCTGCGACAGCCTCTCCATCTCCAACCGCAATTCCTGCAGTCTACGCTCCAGCGTGAGATTTCCGAAACGGTCATCTTTCTGGCTCTCCCGCGCACTACCCTCTCCCGGGTTTCCCACGTCGCTTTCGTCCCCCGACTCACAACTCATGGCCTGCGCTCATCTGTCCGGGTTTAAGTGGGCAAACCTCGTGTCCATAGGACGCTTTAAAACTCAAAAAAAGGCAGCGGCACCCCTGAGATGTGAGAACATCAGAGGACTCACCACTTTTAAAGTTTCTGCTCGCTGGTTGCTCGATGTCGCCGGGATTGTCGCCGGAATGATGAATTGGGATGACCGTAGCTGGACCCCTCGCTTCTTCGGGTCGATGGCTGCCACACTGCCGCCTCCTGAGCTCGGTGGCTTGGCTCTTCGTTGGAACAGACGATGTCTTGGCTTTTGGTTTTGCGTGTTCTCCGCAACACGACGATCTCCTTGTTGCGCAGAGCGCTTCTTGTCGTCGTCGTCTCGATCCTGTCGGACTGCGCCAGTAAAACTCAACCTTCTACACACTCCCTCTGTTCCCTTGAGCAGAGCTCTCCCAGCTGCGTAGCAGCTGTTGCTACAGAAGGGAGTGGAAGGTTGGTTGCTTCTCGGTGTGCGTCTTGTCTTGTCGTGGCTGCTGCTGCTTGTTCGGGGACGGAAGCCAGCACATTTCGAACGTTACACCAACTGGACTTTATATACAGAAACTTATGTACATATTTACAAGACTTCACCGTCAGAACCGTCGCATGTTGCCTCGGCAGAGCCGATAGTGCAGAGCACTCCTTGCTGCGACCAAACTCCCCCGCGAGGACTCGGAATACAGGTTTTAATACCTCGGTTGCCCCTCCCGATTCTCCTCACGGCCAACCAAAGCAATTTAGTCCGTTTATTGGACAGACAAAACACTTGTTGCCGTCCCCTCCTCTCGCTCTCTTCTTCCTGCACTCGACTGCTCGGTCGGAAAGAGAGAGACGAAAGGACCGGCCTGCACACAACGTTACGGGAACTGTGCGAACGTACCCAATGGTGGCGCCGTTCGGCTGTGGGCCTCCTGCATCACCGCGAGATGACTACGCTGTCCAGCACGACAGCCGTCCCGCGGACTCTAATCCTGACGGATGGGTGGCTATGCACTGTTCTCACGTTACCCGCCGGCAATCCGCAGTCCAGGAACCATTTAGCTAGTTGCTAGAAGCGGCGACTGATCGTGGTATTCTTGCCAGAAGGGGCCCGCTTACGCCGAGATTATCGTCTACCGAGAATCGGCTTTTTGGGAAGCGCGCCCTTTTGAGACCGAGAAGACTCGCTCCCATGGCCTGCGACGCCAGACCTTACACTGCTGTGCGTGTATGAAAACAGGAGGCACGGCTTGCGGCAGCGGGGTGGTGATGGCATCAGCGCCGGCAGGCTCGATGTGTGACGTGCTGCCGGACAGTGGGCGCAAGCGTTGGCCTGAGCGACGCTCCAGGGGGTAGAGCAGCATGAAAAATGACCGAGGACCAAAATCCACCTCCAGCAGGAGTGACATTGTGGTTTCGATGGCGTTTATTGAAAAAAAAACTGAAAACTGACAGGCAGAGCATACACCCACACGATAATGATGAAATGACGAATGGTGACGATGAGGACAGGGACACAAACGTATGGTGATCAATATGGTCATGCAGAGGTAAGGAAGGAGAAAATAACAAATGCCCACACTGTATCCATTCATGTGACTGAGTGCTAGGTGATGGGCTAGTTTACGGTCGCACGGCCGTATTATTTATTGCCCTAGAACAGACGTTCAATGCACAAGGCCCACCAATTCACAAGACATGTAATGTTTTTAAGATGAAAGACATCGATGTAAAGTACTTGTTCGCATCCGTTCCTTCATCCGTGCCCAGGAACATTGTTAGCTGTAGCCACAGAGTTTCCAAATATACACTAGATGGAAATCTGGCTCTAGTGTCTGTGGGAGCTTCAACGCATGGCGCTTCAGTGAGCACGGAAATTTTGGATAGTGCATGGATTCGCCTTATCTTCGTACTTCTGGCTCCATGTGTGTTCGTGTTGCTTGAAGCTGTTTTCCCACGAAACAAACTTCAGAACATGTACAGCGGTTGCACTTCACAACCTCGTCCTTTTAAGCTTACCATTTCAAACTGGGTCACGAAGTTTAGACTCGTTTTTCTTCAAAACAAAAACCGAAACGCAGCAAGAAACGAAGCCACAAGTGCGATTCACCGCCCTCAAGCATGAAGACTAGGCAAATCCGTGTCTAGCCTATCATTCCCTTGGTCGCTAAGTGATCGCCGCGCCTAATTACCCTCTAGGTTACATTAAGAAACTATAACTATAGCCTCTCCCCTCCCTCTCTAAGCAATCATGTGACAGCAGAGCATCGTGCAGCAACAGTTGCGCTGCCTTAGCTGTGACTTCTCCCCCCTGCACTCTCTCACGAATCAAGTTATTGCTGAATGTCAAACGAAATAAAAAGCACAAGAAAAGGAAGACCAAAGAAAAAATTACCATGAATCGCAGTAGAGAAGTGAGACTAATCTGCCTCCGTTTAGCATGAAATCGTATAATCGCGCTTTGACCATCGTGCAGACGCCATTCAAGTTCCACGCTGATATGTTCGTTTCTAAATAAGTGTTTACTACTACTACTCCCACGTGGTGGGAGACGCTGCAGGTGAGACCATTGCCAGGGGACCGGACGGCGGTCTAGGATGACTGGCATTTCTTACAGTTTTAACTTTTCACGAGGAGCTACACATTCACTATTCCTATGCTTCGTTCATTAGCTTTTCATAAGACCATAATTAGCTCATAAAAACGGCTCGTTAGACCATTGCATTTTTATCATCCGCAACGCCTCTCAGGTGGCACCTGGTGTGCGACCGCGCACCGTACGTGGTCATGACGCACGTCTACTACACGGTCGGTGAATTGTTGGGCGCCCCGCTGGTGGGACAGCTGGCAGACCGTGCCGGCCGCCGGCCCATGGTCTTTGGCGCCTTGCTGATGTCCATGGCGTCAGTGTTCACAGCAACGGCAGCCGACTCCTTCCCCGCCTTCGTGGTCGCCCACGTGCTCATCGCCTTGTCGACATCCACCGCCCACTTCCTGACGTCTATTCTGCTCTTCGAGGTATGACACTCGAGGCAGCGGCAATAACCTGTTAGCAACATCCTTCTATAAAAACAAAAGAAACTGTGCCGACTATTATTTAGCATCTGGACGGGACGACGTACTACACCTGTGGCCCATTAGTGATGAGAAAGAGTTGAAACATTTCTTCAATCGAAACATTATTGCCAAATGACGTTCAATTTATTGTAACCATTCTCGATCTGAGTGTGTTTTACCGGCAGAGAATTTACGCGCCCCACATACTATAAATGTGCCTACTTGTAGCTGTAGAACCAACTCGCCCAAATCAAACCCTTAATGTAACATGTGTTGTGTAGCTTCTAGTCATGCCTATTCGGTGTAGACGTGTACTGTCCTGACGTATATCGTCATTAAATCATGAAAATCAGCGTAGTTTACGGTCTCATTATAACATGCAACGCATGGCTTTGTACTGTCATTCCTGAATAGAGAAGTTTGACCCAAAGGCCACCTTCTACTGCACGGCAAAATAGAATAGCTAGAATTTTTTTCTAGTGGTTAGGGGGGGGGGGTGCAGTAATGCTTTATCTACGTTCGCGCGTGTGTTTCTATAACGTGGGTGCATGTATATAAATGCACAACTAAATATTTTCTGGTGGCTTCAAACCTCCCCCTTCCCTCGTTGACTATGCCCCTTGCAGGACATACATTCGTTCACGTAACCCACGAATGACATGTGCTTTTTATTGCAGTGTGAGAACAATGCACTACTTCTGTTTTGTGTGCAACTACACTCAGAGCTCTTCATCGGCCTACCGAGCGCTGTACATCGCTGCAGCCGAGACGGGTGCTCCACTCGTGCACGCCATCTCGTTGTGCCCATGGCTGCAGCACATGGACCTCCGCTTCACGCGCATCGCGCTCGTGTTCAGCATGATCCTGTTGTCACTCGCCTTCCACGCGGTGGCCGAGTCTCCCCGATGGATGCTCGCAGTGGGCGATTACGACGCCCTGACCACCGTGCTGACCAGTATCGCCCAGGAGAACGAGTTCCAGCTCGGAGACGTCTGGCGTCTTGTCCACTATGCAGAGGCCGTCAAACCACTGCAGGTTGGTCGTCCTCAAAGCACGTTTTTGTGCGATGGCTAAATTACTGACACTCACAACGGTATGCCGTCGGCTTCTCTGCAACCGTCATGTTCCTAATGAAATTCAAACAGATAACATCTCCTCCCCCCCCCGCATTGGATGCTTTACCAGCAGGTAAAAACGCTAGCGTGGGTGACTAACGCGGCGGCTCAGGCAGATCAACCGATATAAAACGAGCCGACCCATCTACGTGTCACACAAGGTGCACTCAATAACATGTGTTTGACAATATGTGTTGCTGTGCGTTGGCATTAGATAAGATGTATTGAAAACACGGCACTCACAATAACACGACAGCTTCGTTGAGAATCGCATTTAATGGGTTGGGGGAAAAGTTACAGCTTTGCTGCAAGGGCAAAGCTGTGAACGCGATAGCAACAAATTGGAAGCTGACGCGAAGAACGGCAAGCAAATAGAAACACGCTCCACGTTTCTCACGCGCATTTTGCGTGCGAAACATACTCATGGGTACAGATGAACGTGAATAAGCGTATCAGTTGTTACTCTGGTGTGCCTCAAAAGCGCGCCCTTGTCGCAAATGGAGGCTGTGCAACGAGTGAAGTGACCTTTGTGCACCTGGTAAGTTAAAAACATAATCGTTCGGTGAAAGCCCACGACGTAAGATTGTCTCCACCGCGATATAAGTGAGCGCAGAGGTGAGATTACCCTCACTGCGAAGCGAAGTACGCGTGGCAGATGAGAGCGCGCGCCGCCGCGTCGTGACGATCTGGTGACGCGCGCTCACTGCGGCATCTGGCTTGTAATGCTGAAAACGTGATAGTTCCCTCGAGATCCATCTCGCCAGCCGTAAGTGCTAGATATAAGCAGCTTGCCGTTTGAACGTTGGAGGTGGTGCTCTTTTGTGGCTTGGTGACTAGAGCCTCGCCATTCACGATTGAGAGGTCGGACGGATGTTCAATTCTGCTCACCGGGGTCTTTTTAAGAGTATTTTTTTCGTTTTTATATATAGATAGGTTTACATATATGGTGAATGACGTCGACGCCCCCGCCAACGCCGGCGGCAAAATCTAGCCGAGAGTGTCCATATAATCGCTACGGCAATAAAAAGATATATAATATTGTTCAGACGAAAGACTGAAAGCCCACGCGCACTGCAGTTCGTCACACTGGGGACACACACTGCATCCGCCCAACTAGCGCACTGTCTCTCAGCTATAGTACGCTAATTCGCGCCGTCGCACAAACGCGCACACCCTAAGTCACAATCCCACCGCTATAGGTTCGTCTCAAGCCACTGTACTGCTGAATACTGCTGCTGCGATCGCTCAGCGACCATGTTTCGTTGTTGCGGGCAGATAATCCACTTGTGACTGCGTTTATTGCTGTGTTTAAGTTTTGTTTTGAAGGAAAAAACAAATCATGTTTCACTTCATGACCTGATTTGAGGTGGTAAACCTACAAAATCTAGGTTGTGAAGCGTAGTTGCCGAACACATGCCGATTGTTTCGTGAGAAAGCAGCTTTGAGCCACGCGAAGCCAGAAAGACCGTAAAATCGAAGACTAAGTCAATTCATGTCATACCTACAATTCTTATGCTCACAAAAGCGCTATGCACTGCAGCTCCCATGGACACTAGCGCCAGTGCTCTTTCAGGTGTATATTTAGGAAACTCGATGCCACACAAAATGGGTGGCACTAGACTATGTTTCTTTACTTTGGTTCAGTAGTACCAAAGCTACCGGGTGTAAAAAAGCCACACGCTTGCGCAGCGAAACCTAGTCCCTCTAGGCCCGCCTAGAGAAATTGCCATAGAAAAAATCAGATATCTCGTTTATTTGCTCTTGGGATACAAGTGAACATATTCAGAACAAGTTGAGGTGCTAAAGATGTTACATATCAAAAATACAATTCGTATCATATTTGATACAGTAGGCTTCTCCGAAAGGCACGCCAGTGTCATGGTTCAGCACCTTTGATAATAAAAAAAACAATTTCTTTCCTTGTTGAGGCAAAGTGTGATGTCACATTTGGAACAAATGATGGAACTGAACTTGCTCTCACTTGCCACACAGTTCCTGCAGCGCAGCCGCTGGTTCGTAACCAGTGGGAAATGCCAAACACCATCTTTCCTGACGTCAACATTGGGCTCTCTTAGTGGAACTCCTTTTTTTTTTAAAGCAGGTGATGGCAAGCTAGATGGGCGTCCCTTTTTGTCTTTCCAGACAGCATTAGGCGCTCTGACAGCGCAGTGATAAACACACGCAGCTTCATTGGGTTGGAGCGCAGTTGGGCAGATTGGCGCCTGTGCTGATTCCATGGATTTACTGCACAGATGAAAATGCTGTGGTACAGTAAATACATGTACAACCGCCTCGACCTGATGGTGTATATATACAGAAAAACTGTGACATTGTGTCTGCTATCGGTGAATGTCTGCTGGCCTGCTCCCAGTAACATCTCACATTTACCATTTGAACGAGGCCCATCTGCAGGTATATATCTTATATATATATATATATACTATATATATATATATATCTATATATATATATATATATCTTATATATATATCTTATATACTTATATCTTATCCAGATGTTTGTATTGACCGATGCGCCATACTTTTGAGTACTGTAGAGATTTGTTTGTTGAACAAGCATCTCTAACATGTCGTTGGTGAGCAGCTTCCAAAACAACTCCATCGGTGTCTCCAAGTCATCCGGCTCACTAAACGTCCCGGAGAAGTCTGGGTGGCAAACCTATAGCAAATCTTTTTCCCAGTTCCTTCCAGAAGTTGAGCAGGATGATGCACTGCTGCAGAAAAAATCCGGCTCATCGTCATCACTAGTGTCACCTGGCGCAGCGTTCTTAGCAACGGTCTGTTCTTTTTCATCGCTGTCCGAAAGATCACTGAAGTCACTTACGTCGTCACCAACAGCAACACGCTCGAGGATATCCCTCACTGCCGCACCTAAAGCAAAAAAAAAGACAGCACGATCTATAACCAAATAGTGAAGCAAGAAGCACCGAACAGTTGCTAGTGTTTTACGGCGAGCAGAATATTTCATCTTATGCTTTCATTTCCAACTGAGAGCAAGAAAGATGCGCGTTCAAGTAACGCCCGCTGTATCAGATATGATACGGGCGAAATTATCACGCAATTGTAGGGTCCAAAGCTACCACATATCCCAAAAAACTATACCTAGTGATCAGATATTGTATCAGGCTAAACAATTCACAGAAGGTTTAGGAATACATACGTCATAATTACCTTTTCTAGTGTATAACGTTCGAGCTGGAATACCGTCTCGTGCGGTGCTGGAGGCGGCCATCTTCGGAAGTGAGCTAGCGGCGCTCTGGTGGCAAAAAATAGAAGCATATAGATTCGAAAACACTCTTCAACGTTCCCTAAGCACCACCAACTAGCTTTCGTGCTTTCAGTTTCGGTTTGTAGCAGCGGGGCTAGCTTCAAACCTGGCGTATCAAATATGATACGGTGGGCGTTGTGGGGAATTGACCGAGGTGGCTAGAATCGGCGCTTCTTTAGTGTTTAACGCCACGTCGATATACATACAGTTTACTAAAATCAACTAGAAGGGACTCTGACTCTGCGATCGTCAAGTGACCATGGAAGTCATAGGTAGTACATGGATATGCCTCGTCTTCGTACTTGCGGGTGGCAAATCGCATTTGTGGCTTCCTTTATTGCTGTGTTTCCGTTGCCTTTTGAAGGAAAAAACGAGCCGTTCTGAACTTCGTGACCTGGTTTGGAATGGTAAGCCTGAAAGATTAACGTGGTGAAGTGCAACCGCTGAACATTCGCAGAGTTTTGTTTCGTGCGAAAACAACTCCAAGCCCCTCGAACACACACGGAACCAGAAGTACAAAGATTAGACAAATCCATGTACTCAGTTTCATCTCTGTTGGTACTTCGCGGTGTCTGAAAAGCGCGCTCTTTTCGCAAACGGACACTGTGCAACGAATGCATTGACCTTTGTGCGCCCGGTAATTACAATAGAATCGTTCCGGTGAAAGCCCAAGGCGCACGATTGTCCCCACCGCGAGATAGGCGAGTACAAGCGTAAGCGTCTCCTTTCCGTGGCGCAAGGTACGCGTGGGAAATAAGAGCGTGCGCCTCCTCGTCGTGACGATCTGGCGACGCGCGCTCACTGCGCTATCTCGTTGCTAATGCTGAAAACACGATAGTCCCCCCCTCCCCCTGAGATGCCCATTGCCAGCGGTAAGTGGTAAATATAAATAGTTTGCCGTTCAGGCGTTGCAGAAGATGCTCCTTCGTGGCTCAGAGCAAACGCCTCTTCAGACGTCAGACATTTGATTCCGCGCGCCGGAGTCTTCCCAGACATATTTTTTTTTTTCATTTTCAAGTATACAAATACGTATACATTTACGGTGAATGACGGCGACGCCTGTGGCAAAATCTAACCTAGAGTGACCATATAATTGCTATCGCAATGAAACCAGAAAGGGGGCATTGCAGCGGGAAACGCAAAAGAATGCATCAACGGGAAAGCAGTTATACTGTGAGTCGCGAACAGCTCCTGAGAGACACAGCCACCAAGTGAGGTTGCCCGCCGGCATGAGCGTCTACCGATTCTCCCCAGAGCAACTAATCTAGGCTTTCAGATAATGAGCCAGCCATAATATTACCAATCACCATGTATAGTTAAGTTGGTGAGCACACGCCGCGAATATAGTGAGCAGAAGACAAGGCGCGGATGAATATATGTGGAGGGGCTATGCTCTCTTCCTATTGGTGAAGGAGCACTGTAGCCTCCACAGTGCTGAAGGGACTTAGTTTAGCTTGTGTTCAGAAAAAGTGCTTAACGATTTAGAGTACTTTGTACTGTACTATGCGAGAGTTGACAGCCATTCCGTGGGCTTCACACTTGATGAGGCCGCATTGACATAAATAACCAAGCTGTGACAGAATGATACCTAAGACTGTGTACCCAATAGAAACCAGACAAAATAAATCAAAC